TGCGTTTTCTACATAAAAAATGATCTTTCCTGCTAACGAAGTAATTATACAAACTTTCTACATTTAGCTATTAAATAACTACAATGTTCCCTCTCTATATATCGCTCCCTTAGTACATCACAGATTTTTTTCTCGCAAGAGTGTAATTCCGAGATATAAAGGAAACAATCATATTTAACTGTGGATTAAATGAAAAAAAAAAATTACTTGTAGAAATAGGGTGCCAAGAAGGTGCCAAAAATTATTTTACAAAACAATTTTATTTGAATTTTATAATTTTGAAAATCGAACTGAAACATTTCTTCTCTAACGAAGTAATTATACAAACTTTCTACATTTAGCTATTAAATAACTACAATGTTCCCTCTCTATATATCGCTCCCTTAGTACATCACAGATTTTTTTCTCGCAAGAGTGTAATTCCGAGATATAAAGGAAACAATCATATTTAACTGTGGATTAAATGAAAAAAAAAAATTACTTGTAGAAATAGGGTGCCAAGAAGGTGCCAAAAATTTAACTGTGGATTAAATGAAAAAAAAAATGTACTTGTAGAAATGGGGAGATTGGTGCCAAGAAGGTGCCAAAAAAATATTTTACAAAACAATTTTATTTGAATTTTATAGTTTTGAAAATCGAACTGAAACATTTCTTCTAGAACAGTTCTCAAACTTTTTGTACTCTGTAACCACCTGAGAGATGATGTTTATGTTAAGACTTTTTGTACTCTGTAACCACCTGAGAGATGATGTTTATGTTAAGTGTTGTATTTATTGTGCACGGTATGTTTCAGATTTATTCAATTCAATTGAAAATATAAATGTGAAAATGTGAATTTTCGCCGTGTACAACTAGAGAGCACAGCCCCCCCTTTCTGCAACAACTCTCGTTACAGTTGTGTTTGTTATTTTGTTTTTCTCCCGGTAATACAGTTACTAACAAGGGCTAGTATACCACTTTGGCGACTGAGAGAGAAATTAGACTACAAGAGAAATGTCTAATCCTACATTTCCATTATTTAATGCAAGGGAATAAGTAATTGTGTTTAATAATTTGCGTTATTTGCATGAGGCAGGCGGCAGCACTGACTCCGGATCTGCTGCGAGTTCTATAGCAGAAACCCTCAATAGGTGGACTCTGGACTTTGTACTCCAATTATAAACTCAGTATAACCTTGATTGTATATACATCCTTCCATTGTTTTCCCATGCTATATGTTTTGTTTTTTTTTTTCCAAATGGATACTTTAATTTCAATTCTAAGTTTAAAACTCTCTGTTCATTGAGACAGATGTTTTTTGCGAATTTGGGCTTCCCAAATAAAATTGACTTGAATTGATTTGATATTGACCAAAATCAATTTCTAAGATGTGGCGCTTTGGCCCAGAGGCAATGTCTCTGTCATTGGTGTGGAACCCCAGGGCAAGATCGAATCCCGGATAGGGCGGTTGGTACCTTCCAGTGGACTCACCATCCGCAGGAAGGTTCAGGGGGGGTTGGTACGGTGCAGTGTGATTTGGGTGGCGGTCATGGAGACTGCTTTCCCCGCGACCTGGTAATGGAGAAGCTGATGAAAATGGAAGGATGGATGGATGTGTGGTTGCAATTATTGTCGGCAATAAATAGAGATTAAAAAGACAAGGAAATCACGGACTCCGTGACTACATGATAAACCATTTGGCACGGGAGCTGGTGCCGATTTATACAGTTAAAAAAAAGGAGGGGTTTCAAAAAATGATCCGCACCGATCCGAATCTCTTGCATCACTATCCCAGAGCGCTATAATAATCGCCGCAGCAAGGTTGAAATTGAAATGCCTACGGCCTACAGACTTGTGGTCAAGCAGGAGCGTGGAGCTGTATGTAAGCCTGACCACCCACTTTATCAACAAGCAAAGAGCAAAGGTAGTAGCAGAAACTGAATTGACCCGTGTTTAGATAAAGTTTTAGTAGGGTACAAATTATAGCCCATTTGAGATGTAATCACTGATTTATTCAGTGATTACATTTGAAATGCCTTTGCACTTGGTAGAAATGCCCTTATTATTAGAAATATCTTTATTTTCAAAAAAAAAAAAATTTTAAACAAATTTAAATATAAAAACACCATGTCAACTTCAGTTTTTGTATTTTTTTTTTTGGGGCGTGATATTTGATTCTTTTGAGTTGTGAAATTAAAAAAAACGATTGTAACTAGTGTTCCGTGTTGTCCTTGACATTTAAGCAAGAAGATTTGTGACACCAATCGTAATCGCATTCTCAATACTGCCGACAATAATTGCAACCACACATCCATCCATCCATCCTTCCTTCCAATTTCAAGGTAGTTGGAAGGTACCAACTGCCCTAACACGGGATTCGAACTTGCCCAGGAGGTGAACCCTGGGGTTCCACACCAATGACATAGACAAAGCACCACTGCAACCACACATTTTCATAAAAAATTGCGCAGCACAACTCATAACGCACACGTTAGCACTCGTTTAATCACTAGAAAACACA